TATCTATCTATCTATCTTTCTCTTCTTTCTTTATTTTCCTCTCTTTCTCTCTGTTTTCCACATTTTTTAATTATGTTTATGTTTGTGTGTGTGTGTGTTTGTGGTGTGTGTGTGTGTGTTTGTGGTGTGTGTGTGTGTCTGTGGTGTGTGTGTGTGTTTGTAGTGTGTTTGTGTGTTTGTGGTGTGTTTGTGTGTGTTATACCGCCACGCCAGCTTAACATGCGATCGTTATCATTGCTATTGTTGACTTGTACTAAGATTGGGTACTAACCAAGCAATCAAACGCAAACATTCATGCATACATACACACACATACACACACACACACATACATACACACACACATACACGCATACAAATACTCACGCATGCTTACATGCGTGTAATCAATAAACTGATAGTCACAAAACGTCTCATGGTTTTTAGAGCGATCCAGTTCAATCGTTCCGCTCACTGATTGAATTAAAATTAGGATGATAAATTATAATTAATTAATTAAGACAATAAAGACGATAATTTAGAAAAGTTAGGAATGAGAAAAAGAAGAATAAAGAAAGAGAAAAGGGGGCGGAAGAAGAAAAAAAGAATGATTGAGAGAGAGAGAAAGAGAGATGGAGGGAGAGAGAGAGAGAAATATGACGTTCCAACTAACATTTGAAAATATTTGAAAATTTATTTTAATTTCATATCATAATAAAAGTAGCAATAAAAATAATAAATAATAATTATAAACAGAATAATAATAATAATAATGAAAGCAACAAAAAGGCACCTAATGCATTTCGTGCCAGCTACTATAAATAATGTACCTGTTCCAATACCAAAAAAATTACTGAACTTGTATTTATATTACAATTGACAAATACAAAACGTATTATTGTATGTAGTACACTTGGTACATACATACAACGTACACTATGTACTGTGTAGTACTACAATTCACACATACGTACAAAGATACAAGACATACACTTGGTACATACATACAACGTACACTTTGTACTGTGTAGTACTACAATTCATACATACGTACAAAGATACAAGACGTACACTTGGTACATACATACAACGTACACTTTGTACTGTGTAGTACTACAATTCATACAAACGTACAAAGATACAAGACGTATTGAATTGTACAACCACTAAACATACATACATATTGTATGTATTACGGCACAAAATTACATACATACTAAGTACACTTATAATTGCTCTTGAATGTATATTAATCAATTTTACAAGTAAAGGAATATACAGATGGGGAGATATATGGATAGATAGATGGATAGATATATAGAAAGATAGATATATGGATGGATAGATAGATATATATGGATGGATAAATGGATAGATGGATGGATGGATAAATGGATGAATGGATAGATGGATGGACGAACGAATGGATAAGTATAACGAAGACACGCACATTTTATTTAGAGTATAGTAATTAAGGAAATTTGTTTATATTTTTAGCAGTCACTTTTTCTTGACAAATAGTTATTATTAATATTACCTTCTACTTTATTATTCTTCTTGCAATAAATTTGTTTTAGTTTGTAATTAATTTCGTTAATTTATAATTAATTTTTTCAGCACAGGTAGGTGATATATATATATATATATATATATATATATATATATATATATATATATATATATATATATATGACATGTCTAACCACATCAGATGACTGTTAAACATAATGCCCATCATTGCATTGGCTAGATTCATTACTTTTTTACCTGCTACGAAAATAAATTACAGGATGTAAAACCATGTAAATGTGTTATCATGTATGTAAACGTGTAAACGTGTTAATATGTAACCCTGTAAATGTGTAATCATGTATGTAAAGATGTACGTAAAGATGTAAATTTGTTGTAACCATGTAATTGTGTAAATTTGAATGTAAAAATATGCGTAATTTATTTGGTGAATTTAAAGTCGATAAGAAAAAAATACATCAACCTAATGAGTGCCAACGTCTTTAAGTAACTTATTACTATTGTAATCGTCGTCGTCATCATCATCATTATACTTACCATCATCATCGTCATCATCATTATACTTACCATCATCATCATCAATACCACCACCACCCCCACCACCATCATCATCATCATTTTCATCATCATCAAACATTCTTAATTCCTCCAGACACCATCGTTAGCAGAGTCGCGAATTTTTATTATCGATCGGTTAGTAAATTCAAAGCAACAATGGAAATAGAGGAAAGCGTTTCATTCCAGTTCCCAAAGAGTATAAATAATACGAGACTGTAGAAGAAAATTTTACATAGCCCAATGGAATTTTAAATATGCATAATCACATGCAACTGTCTGCAGGCGTATTTGCTTAGATGCTTAGATATGCATTTTAACCATCCATTCTACACAGACACACACACACACGCATACATACTTACATACTCATACATACATGCACGAAATTACACACATACATGCGGCGCCAAATTGAAGACAGAGTCAGAGAGCTTCTGCCCTGGGGACCCCACTAAAAGGGGCGGGGCATTCGCAAAAAAGATAATTCGACTTGCACAGTATTTAACAATATTTTATTCTTTATAAGTCATTAAAACCGCTGATTTGATGAATTAAATTGTTAAAAAATGTGGAATAAGAAAAAAAACAAGTTCGTCAACATTCTTTTAAAGAACTTTGCTGCCAGGCTGATTGCTGACATTTAAAATTAGTAAAATTGCTGAAGGCCTCCACTAAATAATCAAGGGGTGCTCTACTTCTTTGTTGATCCAGGGCCTTCCTACTTGTAAACTTGTCTCCATACATACATTAAGCGTACAATCACACACGTACATACAAACAAACCAACATCCATCCATACGTGCACATACACGCATACTTAGACTAGATACGTATTCATCCATTCGTATCTATTCGTTGCTCGTTTAAAAGCGATGTACCTTTTTAAAAAATAAAAACTAAGTGAATATTATTTGAATGTATTAGTTTTTGTCTGCCTGCTTCGTCAGTATTTTATTTTCTATTGTATGTATATATTATATTTGCATGTATGTATGTACGAATGTATGTATGTATGAATGAATGAATGAAACTTGTATGTATGGTCGGTATAAATCGGTATACATATATCCTTTGCATGTCGTTCGTCGGTATATATTGTCGGAATGTTGTGTGACATCTCTTATTTGGATACTTCTGCTAATAAATTTTGATAAAATGATTAAGTTACTATTCTATGGAGTTAATTAATGAACTTTTCGATTTATCAAACATGATTTTTTGCTGATATGTTAGTGTTAGTATGATGTGGAAAATGTTCATTTGTTCGATAATATTTGTGCTACCCTGTTATTGTATTTACTTTCATTACATTAATTTGTAAATAATTATTCAAACAATTATATGAATTTATTTATTTTGTATTAATGATATTAGTTTAATACATTAATATCACAGGTTTACATGTTTCATAAAATCCCTTAAATTCCTGAGTTTACTAAACGCTTGTATACCATTCATAAACCTAAAAAATATTAATTTTATACATCATTGCTAATCTTTCAACTAATTTTTTAGTTAATTTTTTAAACTAATACTTTCCTCCCCCAAAAAAAGATAATAAATAAAAGGATGAATGTGGCGGTGATATTTACACTGCTCTGTTCGTGTTGCCACTTGATATGCGGTCTGACGAGTTTGTGTCTGGGGGTCGTGGCATGTGCCAGGGCAGATATCTGGCTGGCCCATATTGTGTCCCCTCTATGGAGCGGGGCTTTCGTAAGTTGTTTCAGACGTATTTCACATTTCTTTAACTTTTTCGATGGCTGAAGTCATTGGTTAGTTGTGAATATTAATAAATAAATCCTTCATTTTTAGTTGAATAGTTTTTTTTCGAGTTTAGTCTATGTGATTGTAATTCATTGATTCTCCGTCTGACCTGTCATAATAATACTGTGTTTATTTATTTATTTATTCAAACTTGTTTGTTAATTCGTAACATTACAAGACATATAAGAGTAATGACTTGTGGAAAATCATTTTGATCAGTTCTTCTTGACGGGGATTCTCGGGCTGGCCTGCGTGTCCAAGAGAACATCTTACACCGTTAGTCCAACATTTAATTAAAAAATGAAACTATTATCTTCAAATTTTCACGAAACATTCGCCCAGTTTCCACACAAACATGTCGACAAAATACCACAAAAAAAGAGAAGTCTTGCGAAAGCTTGCAGGCAAGGGTCACTCAAATTACTCAAACATACAACTTTAAATTCAAATCACCAATTCAGTCAATTGAACCCACCAATCAACCAACTCAGCCAATCAAACCAGCTAATCAATCAATCAAAACAACCAATCAATCAAACAAGCCAACCTACCAGCCAACAAATCAAACAAACCTATCAATCAAGCAACAAATCAAACAAACCAATCAATCAATCAATCAATCAGATAATGTGCTTCGCAGCCCTCTCAGTAGTGTCGTTAGTAACAGTGGTAGTCAGCATTCAACTTCTACGCCTGGGTCTCGTCAACGAAACGACAGACGGCCACACATTTCAGAAAGAGAACAAGGACCACGTAATCGTCGTAGCGTTAACTGTGGCTTCGTTAGAAGGAGTCTTTTGCGTCATATCAGCATTCATCAGCTGCCGACTGGCTTCGAAAGCAAAGAAAGAATTGCAAAGTAAACGTGAGGGGACATTCCACGTGAGAATCATGGGAGAGAAGGATATCGTACTCGTATCGAAACAAGCACCTGACGGCACGGAGAAGAGGGAGAAAGTATTTGCCACATCCATCTGATCCAAAGCAAGATGAGGTCGTAGTACAACAGATGCCAAAGTTTGCTCTTGTATATAGACGTGTACGTTGTGTGCCTGTGAGGTACACAGACGGACATTCGTCACTAATCCTCTTATACATATCTAAGAATTAATTTATTTAAACAAGTACCGTAATGACTAGCTACTTTTTCGTTCTATACCGGTTCCATCGAACTTGTTTCGTTTTGTAAATATGACAAAAACCGACCGCGCTATTATCTATGTATGTTACTACGTCCTACCTCGGGGAACCAGGTCTCTGGACGCAAAACGAAGATTGATTGATCTATGTATGTTATAGCTATTAGCGCTATCAACTAAAACACGAAACCAAATAATCGTTTAATAACTTTATAATTAATTATATATATATATAATATTATATATATATATATATATATATATATATATATATACATACATAAATCGTGTTGTTCTTGTACGTTCGTTGATGAGTATTACAAAAACCTTTTTTTCAATGTTAATACATAATTTCGTACGATTCAAATAATATTAATAAAAATTCTTGGCAGAATAAACGTTTAAAATGTAATTTATTGAATGTTTTAAAATGATTAAAAGTTGTGGTAAATTCAAAAGACAAACATTAAATGGTATAATACATATTTATACATATACCATATACGTATAATATATATAGGTATATATGTATAGTATGTAGATTGTAGGTACATACATATGTATAAGCATTAAACACTGTAAAAGCAAAACAACGAAGAAAAACAAATAACAATAATGATGATGATAATGATAACAACAACAACAACAGTAATAATAATATAAATTAACATTAGCATCATCATCATTACAGATTAAAAAGCCATGAGTCATCATCATTATCAATATTGCTGTTTTTATTGTCAACACTAGTGCTATTATTATCATTCTTATTATTATTCTTCTTATTATTATTTTTATTATCATTATATTTATTATCATTGCTGACATAGCTATAATTAATGTTACTGCAGCCAGTTCCAATAAGATCTAGAATGTTCTTTTTATCATAAGTTATGCATTTATCAACAATGGTACGTTTTGTATGGTGGATACTATTATCATCATCATCATTATCATCATTACCAAAATCATCATCACTGCAAAGTATATCAAGAAATGATACATCAGTATCTATCTTTTTGTCAACAGTAGTATTATTATTATTATGACTGGATGTACTAGTATCATTAGTTGTATCATAAGCCTTAAGATTACTAGAGCTGTCATTGGTGCTATTATTACTATTATTTGTGTTGATGCTATAAGTGTTATTGTTATTATTAATATTGATGTCATCATCATTGCTACTATTGATGGTTTCATAGATTACATTTAAGTGATGTGATTGTGAATCAATGATAATTATATCTTCTTGATCATCTTGAGAGAAATGTCTGCTATGATGGTTAGCATTGTCATAAGATAAATTGAGAAATAATGGTGGTGAATTGGTGTGATTGTCATCAGCTCTTAATAAGATTGAGTTTACAAACGAATAGTGGTTGTAAACACTCCGTAATCCAGCTAATCCAAATCCAAATCCCGGATCATTGTTTAGGATTCCATCCAATAAACTGTTGTTCATATCTACATAAGAAATTGAATTTTTAGAGCCAATAAAAAAACAGAACAAAATATAAATGATATACTAAATACTTAAATTAAAAGCTAATGAATAAATAAATTAATTAAATATTAATATTAAATTAATTTTAAAATTTAAAGTAAATGATACTTGTGCTCATCAATGACATTGGTGTTGAACAATGAAACTTTTTTCTGACAAATTTTAAGTTGTTTTCCAAATCCTGACTAATTGACGGGACCACCTGAAGTTGTGAATTAGAGTAAGAACAACTCGAATTTTGAGTTTGATACATTTTTACGATCAAAATGTCAATTTTGTCATCAAATTTGTACACTTTTTAAAAACTGAGAAACTAAAACTGAGAAGACGAAAATTTAATTTAAGCGCAAAGGGAAGAAAGTTTAAAAGTTTAATTTTAAAAGAAAAATTATTAAATGAAGTAAACTTTTTATTAATTACTTAATACGTTTATTTTATTTCATTTAAATAATAATTTATAAATGAAAATGATTAAATTTCCGGTTTTTTGAACTTATTTGTTACCGCTAATATTATCGTCTGCATCTTACCAGTTATCAAATCTTCGGCTAGGTTATTTCGGTTAGAATGGCGATAAATGACTTGATTGGCGAATGTTTTAAATTTAAATGGTATTTTTTCCAAAATTTTAGTTGTTAACAAATTAATGTCGGAATTAAATCAACGATGTCAACTCGAAACGCTCAAAATCAAAATATATTTGATAAAATTTATTCATGTAAAAACGGTTCATCAGGTTAGTTATTTATTTGTTATTTTTCCTTTAAAGTTTAATTAAATTAATTAAAAATATTTAAAATTCTTTTTCTACTTTTATAAAGCAACATATAAACTCTTTATCTTTAACCCTGATCAATTAATTAGGCATGCACACTCGTCTACCAGTCATACTAAACAAACCCGTGAAAAATAGTGTTGTTGGTGTTGTCAGAGCAGTCAGTCACAACAAAATGGAGGATGAAAGTTTGGATGAAATTGAAATCCCCAGGGCCTGCAACAAATCTTACAAGTTTGTGGCTTCGGTGGTCATACTATTTATTTTGTATATTATTACTATTTTTATGTAAAAATCACCTTTTTTATATTTCATGCTTTAGAAATTTTTATGCTATAATAATAATACATACCCATTGATATCACATACAAATACTCATTATTCATTTATTGTAATTACAGTATCTAATGTGATCTAATAGATACTATCTATTTTTATAATTTATAATCAATGTATAATTATGTTTTTTATATCAAACGTTTAATGACATAGGTCTTATATATATAAATGATGTAAAAATTTCATTCTATTAGATTAAAATTTTTTTTGCATAGAATTTCTTGCTAAAAAACTAAAAAAAGTGTACTTATGTTAATCCAGAGATCAGGTAAGTGAGTTGAAATTATCATTTTCTGAGAGCATACAAGTAGTGGAGAGTCGGACAGCAACCTACAATAACAAATCTACTAATAACCACACACATTCATTTTCAGGTTTTTTGATGATTAAATTATTTTAGCATGAGTTTTAATAAATTACTTTCTGAATGTAACCTTCATAAAAACATGTTATCATTTAGAATTTATGTCCATTTTTGTCAATTTTTGTCCATTAGTAAAAATTTTCATTTCAATTCAACTGTTTACTAAAAAAAACTTCATCTAAGACTCTTAGAAACTTAGTTTTTTGGCATTTTGTTTCAGTTTTTTTTGTTTTAATTCTATATCAATATAAATCATATTTGGCATAAACATTTTCAGATGATGACTACACAGATTACATATTGACAGAACAGAGTAACTCAAGAGGATTGTCTAGTTATTAATTTTTTATTTTATCTCGTTTTATTTATCATTTATTTTTAGAAATTAATAAAATCCACTGTCTGATTGAATGCTGTTCGATGAAATTTAGTTTTCCAAATGTGTTTGTTATCACCAATGTTCATTATTATGTGGAAAGTAAAATGATGATTACTCAAGTGCTGTACAGTTTGTAAAAGTAATTTAATTTACCTACTATGTTAAAATTGTCAATTCAGATTTTATGAGTATCTTCATCCATTTATTTTTCCATCATGTTCACAATCATCATCATAATCAGACATAACGACTCCGAGATCATTATCAGTCCCATCTCTCAAGTCTGATAAGTTGAGGAACAGCCAATCAGCTTTTGTGTCTTCAGAGAGGCTAAAAAAACCAGCCAATCAAGTATCAACGCAGCAACAGACATGGAGGGAAAAAGATAGCAGCACTCACTCAGATGATAACAACCATAGTAATAATAATGATAATGATAACAACGATGATGATGACGATGATGATTGGCAGGATGTTATAGATGGTAGTGATGAGAGGAATAAGAAGGTTCTGAATAATAATAATAATAAAAACCTTCAACATGTTGTGAACATTTCTACAGTACAACAGCAACGACAGCAAGTTACTCAAAATAATCTTGCTTCAAAATCTTATTTTTCTTCAAATAATAAAAACATTATTAACAACATCAACATTGTTAATAATAATAGCAACAATAAAAATAATAACAATAATAATGCAAGTGGTTGGTATGCAGATGATGACAAATACGACCCGTTTTTATCACCAGTTCGTTGCTCGACTCCGATCAGTGAGAGCATATTCAAGGATCAGCTTGATACCTCTGATGTTGAAGTTCTCTCTAGTATAAGCTGTATGTTTTGTTTTTTTTTCATATATATTATAATTAATTAAAGTTTAAAAAAATTATTATTGTTGAAAAAGTTATTTTTATTAAAATAGTAATTTTAATTTTGTTTGAAATTAAATTATTACCTTTCATTAAAAGAATGTATCTTTTAGTTGGCTGATATTATTTTAAACAAATTTAGTGTTGTTGATGTCATCAATTAAGATGTTAATGTCGTGTCAGATGATGAAGTGAGAACAGTTGACAGTAATGTTAGTGTGGAAGGTGATGACAGCAACAACAACGATGACAACAATGATGGGATTGGAATAAATTTTGAGGGGAATGATATTATTGAGGATTTCCAGATGACAAATGATGTCCTTCAGGCTCTTCATCAACTTCAACAACCACAACATCAACAGCAGCAGCAGCAGCAAAAGCAACAACTGCAGCAGCCACAACAACCACAACATTCACCACAACAACATCAATCACAACAACAATGTCAGCAACAACAGTGTCAGCAACAACAGTGTCAGCAACAACAGTGTCAGCAACAGCAAAATCTTCAGCAGCAGCCAAAGCATCTACTGCTACTACCACTTCAGCAGACATGTCAACAACAACGACATCAGTTGCAAAAAGATCAGCATCAGAATGC